TGAAGCGCCGGTACACATATGAAAAGTGCAATGAAATCTCCTAGGAATAAGAATGAAATATCCATTGAAAGCGCCAGGCATCCAAATGAGAAGCACAATGAGATATCCTGGGTTTAGCAATGAAATATCCAATGAAAGCACCAGGTATATCTATGAAAAGTGCAATGAAATATCCTAGGAACAAGAATGAAATATCCATTGAAAGCGCCAGGCATTCAGATGAAAAGCACAATGAAATATCCTGGGGCTAACAATGAAATATCCAATGAAAGCGCCAGATATATATATGAAAACTCCAATGAAATGTCCTGGAGCTAAGAATGAAATATATATTGAAAGCACCAGGCTTTCATATGAAAAGCAAAATGAGATATCCAGAGATAATGAATGAAATATTGCAGGAAATCACAATACAATATTAATGAGATCACTTAGGCCATTTAATGAAAAAACCAAATGAAATACACAGGGAACTTAATGAATGAAAATACTAGACAAAATAATGAGTTGTCTCATTGAACCTCTAGGCATTATACACATCGCCTTCCAGGCATGTGTCTGGTTTTTATCATAAGAGTGTATACCACTAGTGTCCATTCCCAGACGCATTCCGTATTTGGCATGGAAGCCATGCAGGCCGTAATAGCATGGGATATTTCTTTACACGCCGCGTAACCAGGCCCTTGTCAAGCCAGAAATGGAGCGGAAGAAATGAATGAGGAAATATATCCCAATCTGGAAGCTCAGACTTGAAGGAAAAAAAATAAAGACAGTATATTGGTCAGCAGATATATGTGGACCCACATCGACATTCCACCACATACCAGCTGTGTTTGGTTCGTCATAAATTTGTTCTTCAAAGTCGCCAGCACAGTGATACTTCTGGACCGCATTCCACATGGCCATTGGTGCTAAGGACTCGTCTTGGATAATCGATAAGATCCATTCCCATGGATCTCAATATTCAAAGGCAAATATATATTCTTTACCCTGGTATAATGCAGTCACAATGTCATGCTTGAACTATCAAAAGTCATCAGAAGCGATAAGCAATGGCCGCGTGGTTTCTGCTCACCTGAACAAAGTATTTACAAGCCTTGGAAAGGACATTGTCCATTTCTGTAAAGTTCTTAATAGTAAGATGGCTTCCTTCCGCCCAATTGGAATTGAGGCCGGCTAGTTGCTTGTTGATGATCCACTTGGGTAACAAACCCATTATAGCCGTCTCTGTGTATTCAAAATCACCAAGGTTTTTGAATGGAGCCCAAGGATGAGGCTCGGGCTGGGGCATGTAAGTTGGACATTCTGAATGAGAAACTGGGTTCGCGTGATTCAGGGCAATTATCTTTGTGGTCGGATCCCATGAATGAGGATGCGGAATAATTTTAATGTATTCCTGTGGTAGATGGGGTCCGTACATGGTCTCACGGCCTGCCAAATTCCAAGTAATAATTTTGAAAAGGCATTAAAGAAGGAAAGAAGGAGTGAGCATACCATTAGTAGGCTCTTGAGTATTCAACTCTGGTGACGGATAATCAACGTCCATGGGCACTAAGCTAGACCCTTCAACAAATTCATTGTTGGCACCAAAATCCACACGAGAACTTAAGGGTATTGCTGGCAAGGTCAATGGTGTCGCATCGACTTGAATTTCATTGGGATTTGAATGTGTGCGCTCCGGAAGTTCTTTCCTGATCATCGAAGTTTTCTTACACCAAGCTTCATGCTTATCGAAACCTTGCGCACTTCGATAGGTCTTGCAATAGCGGCATTTCCGCTCAAGCCTCTCAACTTGGAGCTTCCCGGACTTTGTAGAATGTGTTGAACGACGTGGCATTAGTAGGAAAGTTCGTACAAGTCGACTTAGAACAGGAAGCCGACGCCGCGGCCCCACTGATTATTTGGTTGGCATAATGTGTCACTTTGCGTCATTTTATTAGAAGTTCACAGGTACAAACTGTCAAGGTGGAGCAGCCCCACAAATTTTGAGATGCTGGAATATATAATGGGGACCTTTGAGCAAAACAACAACCCAATCGATTCTACTCACTCACAATGACACCGTGGGCGCAGTCACATGATCATTCCAACTCCCCAGCCCCCTCGAATTCCAAGAACGTGCTGGTGCTCAGCACGGACACTTCCCGAGCCAACTTGTTCAAGGTGACTCTGATAGTTGCATTGCGCGACGTTGAACTGACATCATGTGATCATGTCTCGGAGATTGCCCAGCAGTACGAAGTTGACAAGAACGCTGCCCAAGCCAAATTGGATCGTCTCAGTCGCAAGTTTGCGGATATCACCAACGACGAGGACGACAACTCCAGCCATCAGCCCAAACATCGCCGAACTCGCCATGAGTCTCCGCCTGTGGATCCGGATGATGAAATAGATGCTACCAATCGCACCGTCACTGACGAACATTTTGTCTACCAAGCTGGACACAAATTCTTCCTTATCTGCGCTCCATGGATTCGATCAGGAGAGGATCTCTTCGATACTGACATCGACGAGCACTACAATGCGGCCGAGAGATTTGAGAATGACAAGAAGAAGGTGCAGGGTCAAATCCACGAGATTCTCGACCTTCTCCAGGAGAAGATTGAGCAGGATGCCTTGCGTCAGAGGTGGCTCAGACGACAGGTCAGTTCTGTTCGTATTTTGTAACTTTATACTCACTTGTGTCTAGTTTATGAACGGCCTCAAACCACAAAGATACAATACTGCCACCCGAATTCGCCACTGCTGCGCGTTGATCCTCGGTGCCTCCGAGATTGATCTCCTCCAAGCAGACATCAGGAAGGCCAAGTTTCATGAGGACATCGGATGGGTGAGCGAGACTGGACAGTATTCAAGTGTCGATGTTCCGATCCTTCATAAGGATTGGCATGGTGGGTACTTGCTTTCTTCTGTCTTTCTCAATCCTAAGCTTATGGGGGTGAGTCTCAAGTTCATTTCTCATACTTATGTTTAGGGGAACTCATTCTTGATTCAGATCTAAATCACCCTCATTCGTGGGCCCATCGCTGGAAAACTTTTCATGAACGGCCAATCACTTCATCCCCAAACCGAGACGATGGCTCATATTCATAACATATGCAACATCACACCCGGTGCTATTGCTACGTGTGGTATGCTAGTACGTCACTTTTACATATTTTATATCATCCATAACATCCTTCCTTAGGCTCGCTGGGCTCTTTCGAGTGACGACGCTCTTCAGGAGGTGGGCTCGAACACTGGTATACGTTATTTCAACGACTTCGAGGAATACCTAACGATTCTCGAGACTGGCCTTCAACAAAGGAAGAAGAGCATTCTCAACATCATCAAGCAGTGGGACGAGAAGATATTCCAGAACTCTGAATCAAGTCTTGTAATGGGGGTCAAGAATGACGAGAGCTGTGGCTTGAAAAGGGCAATGGAACTCTTAGCTGCTGATTCAGAAGAGGAAGAAGACCAGATGGAAGACCAGGACGGAAATGGGAATGCTGGCAGTGAGGCAACACCAGTCTAGTACCTGCCATTATGTAGTGCACAGCCAGCTCGAAATGCATTGATTTCACGTTCTCTTTGGTGTGAGACCTAAATATTATGCTCGAAATCCGGGGATACATTCCGGTCCAGATTGTGGTTCATCAACCTGACACCGAGGGTAAGCTCTGCTATACACTTGCCGTGTTCAAATGTTTGGTCAGGAGATATAATTACCATAATCACTGGCTTGTTCTCTCAGCATTCAAATGTTTGAACAGGGTAGGTAAGTACCATAATTACGGACATGTCTTCTCCGTGCTCAAATGTTTTACCAGGAGAAGTAACTAGTATAACCACTAATACACCCAATCAGTACTAAAATGTTTGACCACAGCGGTAATTACTGATCCAAGAGAGGGGGTCTATCACACCCATATGCACGTTCTGTGGCTGAAATACATCCCGAAATACTGATGACCTGATGCACACATATAAGCACCATATTGGCACATCTAGGTTTTTCTCGGATTTTCCGACATACCAACTACCTACTCGAAAAAATTGCCATGAACTTCGAAAACAGGGATACTTTCAAATTTCAAATGACTATTGTGAAAGATACCTCAATTTTTTCTCTAAATGACACAGAGTGACGGAATCAACACCACCAAACAGTTACCAAATAGAGTATTAGAACTTAGCGCTGGATACGCTTTACAATACACATTTTGTGGCGATGGTAACAGATTTCATGAGGAATAACTTTACATTGTTCTAATACAAATGGATAGTGAAAGGTATAAAGAAGAACTTACAAAGTCAAGCTAAGCATCAACCAATAAGCAGAAAACTAGCAAGTAACTAGTCCAGCACCCAACTTAAGCATGATGCATGATGTGTTATGTGTGTCTAATGCATTCAATGACTCTTCATATATGTGGAACTGAATGTTTGCGAGCAGTGTGATAATTACAAGAGGCTTGGAAATGGAGACGCAACATGATACATTAACGCAACGGACCCATCACTATGTCACATTCAGCTGTGGCCGCATGTGAGGGCATCAGTGGCATTTTCTGAGGGAGCCTCCAGGCTTGTAGCACTGAGGCTCGGGGCCAGGTCAGCAGGCGGTCCGACATTCTGGGCATGACACTTTGATGTCATGTGAAACCTCAAAGGCCAATTATTTGGCAAGGAAGAATTGGCCTTCAAGGTCATAATCACTCATGGCACTCCCTGCTAAATCCTAATCAAGAATGCCATCGGGGGACAGACCTCAGTGTCCCAGCACTCCTGAGTGCCTGGCGCTACTTACTGTCCCAGCACTCCTGAGTACTCAACACTACTCTGTGACAATCAGAAGGCTGTCAGCACATAAATATGCCAGTGATTTCACCAATTATAGCGTATTCTGTATATGTATGTCAGGCTAAAAAAGACAATGATGATATCCATTTTTACAAGCTGACAGTGGAGCTGTACACTAGAATTGAGTGTACAGCACCCACTGGACTTGACTACATATCAGGTGTATGCTGGCAGGCTCGTTGGTGGTGTATCGGAAAAACCAATCCTGCCACCCTACCACCCCGCATACAGTTCCACCCAGTACTTTATTGTGCCCTACCTATTCCTGTCAGACTCCAGTCATTCCTGCGGATTCCGGTGGAATGGGACTGGACTCCAGCGGAATCCGCAGGAATGGGATCACAATCCACCATAAATAGATACAACAGATACAATTTTTCTCTTTTCTACATACATTTACACTAGTATACACTTCTGCACACTTCTCTTTACTGTAGTACACTAATATACACTTCTGCACACACTAAGATTGCACACTGTTATTAGTTATCCTCATCATCTTGAACATCTTCATCTAAACCCAAGTTTTCCTCTTCATCTCCATCTGATTTCTTCATCTCCTGTTTGTGGATGACATACTTTGTGTGATAGAATAACATGGTGTGTAAAAACCAGTTAAAATTTCCTGGTGTCATACATTTGAGAATTGATTGATAACCACCAAGCCATGCATTGAGTTGTTCGCAAACCTAAAAGATTTATAGTATTGAGCTGATATTTAATGAAAATAAATCATTGATTACCTGTGTATTGAAAGCTTGCTTCAAATATGGTCGTCCATTCTTATCATAGGCCATAACTACAAGATTTGGAGCAGATCCATCTCCAGGTGAAGGATTACAGTATTTCCGACATAGGAAGTCTGCCACTCGATGATTGATATAGTGATAGGCATCCACAATAAATCTAGTAGTCCTTTTCCAAATCTCCCAACTTCCATTTGCTACTGTTGTTGCAAGCACTTGACAACCTTTATCAATACAGATATAATCAGGCCTTGATTCTTCTGTTGGATAAACCTTTGCTAGAAAGTTCAAAATATTGGTTGGTGATTCTGAATTTGGAAACTTGGCCCATGCAATAACAACACCACAAGGTGCGCAAATAGTTTCAACACAGTAGAATCTAGCCGCACGAAAGTAATTTGGAGGTGGCTGTGGTTCTTCATTTGGTTCATCATGTTGTTGGGGATTTGGTCCTCTGTGATGGGGCTCCCAAGGATTATTCTCCCCAGGGTGTTGTAACATCCGGCAAACTCCAGCCTGGTTGTGGTGTTTGCTGTTCTTTGTATGTTTATGCCACTGTGGTTGGTGCTGTTCACATGCAAGTGTTCATTCTACTCTTTGGTTATTACAGTCACGGACCAAGCATTGAGTAGCAAGCATTATGTGATGTATATCACATAGAGATCCACCATGAGAGTTAGAGAGGTCATTAGTGCAAATCTCATATGCACAGTGCTAGAAAAAATCATTGTGAACAAACAAACTCCATGAACAAAATGTAAAAGTCATTTACCTGAGGACCCATAACTATACCATCAAGAACAACCATTTTTATGTTTGGGATATCATCAGTATCCATCTCATTATCTGAAGTGACCTGAGGTGCATCAACTTCCATTTCTTCAGGAGCTGCTGCCAAAGCAGGAATATCATCATCTGTGGCATCAACACCAACAACTGCTGCTGGATTATTGAAAACCACATCACTTGTATCTTTGCGTTTTTGAGTACATTCATCACATGCATGTCCTTCTGAAGCTCTGATGACTCCATCTTCCCCCAAGAGTGAAAATGCCTGAGTAGTAACTTCTTTGATATTCAATCCATCATCAAATTCAGCATCAATTCCAGATTCTTCAGCAATTGTGCAAACAGATTGTTGAACAAATGCTTGCCAGACATGAGCTCGTGAAATTGAAATTTCTTTTGTTCCATATGTATTATTCCAGTACTCTGAGAAAGCAGATGCTGAAGCATGAAAGTTATACATAGCATTTATAGCTGCCATTGCAAATCCACGATCAGTCCAGATTGATTGGCCAATTTTTAAATATTTGGCTGAGTTAAGATAGACTCGTTTCAAAGTATTTTGAATAATTGATGTATCTTCAAATCTTTCATGATCGGCTGTGTATAATGTTTTACAGTTTGGACACTTTCCTGTAAGCACAGGGACATCTTGGTATACTCTCTGCTCTTTGATCAAAGTAACCAATGGTATGTCACTACTTTTGGTAGATTGACGCAATGATCTTGGACTACAACTCTGAGTTTCACATGCAAATGAAGGGGGGCAAATGACATAAGCTGGTTCTATCTTGCTGTGTGATAGAGGGAGTAATTTTCCTTTATAACCCCCCTTCTCATCAAATGTTGATAGTTTCAAGCAGCCAGCCAGCTTGTCAAGCTTTCCAGCAAGAAGATCAACTTTTGCCTTTTCATCTGGCTCTTGTGCAAGTTCATTTTCAGAGAATAAAGTTTCAACCCTCTTCTTTCCAAGTTTGTTTACCAGTGCATTGCTCAATGCAATTATCCATTCTGAAATCTGCACTTTGTTTTCATCACCACAAATCCGTTGTTGTTGACGAAAATGAAGATTTAATAAATCAGGATTCTCAAATAGTGTGAATGAGATTGTGAGAACAGTTGCCAAAGAAATATTAGAGCCAAAGATTGTCTGGATTGCATCACTAAATATGCTGCATGGAATATTTGGAAAAGGACGTTGCCCTGAAGAGGTAGCAGATGCCAATGAAACTAGATTTGACCAGATCAAGAGCCAGACTAAAATCCAGTGCTGGGATACAAGTGATATAGCTGATGACAAGAGCAGAAAAGTAAATCTGAAAAGGAAACTAGAACTATTGTACAAATCAGTATTTCTTCTTTCATTTACACTCCAAACACATCAAAAAGAAAAGAAAGAAAATCATAACACTACTTACTCAGAAGCTTCTTCCTCATCTGAACCCCTTGCCTCTTTCAACTTCTTGTGCTTTCTCTGCACCCGTGGTCGATCTTTATCACGATTCTTCTTCTTTGGACTGTCTGAGGCTTTCCTCTTCCCCTTGGGATCACGTCTCTTCAGCTCTCCCTCCCAATCTTTATCCTCAAGCCACTTCTTCAAGTCAGGAAAGGTCAGAGATCGACTGGTCTTAATCCCCCACAAATCCTCAGTACAGAGGCAATCTTCCAAGTCATCAAGCCAATCTCGCATATCTGGATACTCCTGTGATCGTAAAAACAATGGCTTCCAAGTTTGGTAGAACTGTGACTTGGCGATGAAAATATCAATGAAGGTGGTGATGCTGGGAACCCAGATAGCTGCATCATTAAACTGTGCCTTCCACTCAGCATCCTTGCCCAAGGCCATCACCTTAGGGGTAGCATTTGTGATGGCCTTGAACTTCTGGTAAGCAGAGCGTAACCCAGATGGTTCCAGAGAGGGAAGTTCTGTGTCAATCCCAAGATAGTCTAAGAGAAGAGCTTTGCTTTCTTTTGAAAGCCTTGAAGGACCTGTCACCTCAGATGTACTAACAGACGAAGCAAGAGACTGTCCACGAGACTCAGAAGGAACTGACAAAGAACGAGGGACAGATCCTGAATGAGAACCCAAAGAAACAGAACACTGATGGAATGATGGAGGAATTGCTGAGGCAACCATTGGGTCACAATCGTTTTCCTAGACATAATTGAAACCAAACTCAAAGAGAGCACAACCAATAAAACCTACCAAGAGAATATGAGTCACCTTACCCATCTCATCTTCCTCCCAAACAACATCCTCGTCATCCTCAACTACAATGTTATAACGCCCCATGATGGACCACTGCTTCTGATCCAAAACATAAACACGATAATTCTGATCTGAGACAAAAGTTTATTAAGCTTTGTAGATTTATAAATAATTGAATACTTACTGCGAACAGGTAGTGTTTGAGAGTCCGGTTCGGTCCGGTTTTTTGATGCCCAGGGGCGTTAACCGTAACCGTAACCGGTCTGCCTTTTCCCCAGAAGTCAAAAGACCAGACCAGACCGCAAAAAGACCGCAGACCGCGGTTTTTTGCGGTCTATAGACTGGTTTCGGTCTGCATCAGTTTTAACCGGTTTATGACCGGTCTTTAGGCCAATATTTTAAAATTATGAATCGGTAAATTTATTAACATCTCTAATAGCTTCAAAACGAGCCCAAGAACGTTAAATTCCGTTAGGAATTGGTGCTTCTATAAAATAAGTCTGGTACATCTATTATTCCCAAAAGTAATTTACATTTTAATTCATATCTCTCTCGTTTTTTTACCAAATCGTACGTTCTTGGGTGCGTTTTAAAGGGTATTTAAGGGGCTACAAAAGACCGGTCCAAACCGGTCAAGACCGGTTCACGTTAACCGGTTTTTTTGCGGTCTTTACATTTCAAAAATAAAAGACCGTAACCGCAGGTCCGGTCTTTTGCGGTCTTGGTCCGGTCAGGTTACAGTCTTTTTCCAGTCATGAGACCGGACTTCCAAATACTATGAACAGGAGAGTAGGACTTGGCAACCTTTTTCAGGAGTGGGCCCAATGTTTCGTAACAGGGGGACTTGACATTTAGAAGTGAGGTAGGATTCTGAATGATGATATCTGAAGGAGGTTGTTGCACAATTGTGACATTAATGCGACCATGGGAAAGGGGGGCTACATCTTGAAGCACATCACCAACAGGGTCACCTATGTTGAAAGAATTCCCAAGGGCACGCCCACGCAAAATGCCTCCTGTAGAACGTGAGGACCCATTGGCAGGCACTTCCTTCTCAGGAGGTGCAAGATTAGAAATATCAATATCTAGAAAGTATAATAAATAGATGAAATAAACAAAATTAATCAAAATAAAACCTTTAACCAAGCGATCATTGCCAGGAGCTTTAACAATGTCTATAAAGGGTATTAAATGAATGAAACAACAACAATAATATATTATATTACCTTCAGCCAAGGGCTCATGGTGGTTGGAACCAGACTTGGCCTGATGACGGCCTCTTGGTGGGCCAAATCGGATGACCTCCTGCTCCTCACCTCTTTCATCACCATCACTGCCCTCATCACCATCTTCCTCATCACTCTCCTCATCACCTGTTTCTTCATGTGCAGCAGTAACCGCAGGCTCATGATTGATACGAGAACGACTACTGGAAACAGTGGGGGCAGGGGGGAGGAAAGAAGAAGTAGATGAGTGACCAGTATGCTTTGGAGGTGCAACAGATGTGCCAGAAGCTTCAAGAGCTTGTTCAACACTATCAATTTAATATAATAAATATTAATCACATAAAAATAAAAGAAAGAAGCTCACGGTGTCAGACTGGCTGGGACACCCTTATCATCCTCAACCTTGTCCCTGGCTGCTCGCTGGGCACCTGTCATCCTGAATAGAATGATTAATATGCAAGTACTGGTATCAGAAAGGCTACACACCTTGCTTTTTTCCCCTTCTTGCCACCAGTCTTTCCCTTGCCCTTCCCAACCTCTGGTTCTCCCTCAATACTCTCCTCACCATCACTCTTGGTGTTGGCTTTGGCGCGTTGGATTTTTTTGCCTCAGTGTTAGACTGGCCACGTTTCTGGCCTCGCTTGGGAGGAGAATTCACCCCAGCTTGTAAGGAACGAAGCTCTCTTGCACTCATGATGGAAGAGAGCAAGGTTAGAAGGTAAAAAGTGAAGTGGGACAGCAAGAACAAAGGATGAGGGGAAGAAAGATGTGGGGGGAAAGAAAGAAAGACGTGAGAGGAAAGAATGGCCACCAGACCTTTAGGGTTCAGGGTTTGAAACTTCCATTTTGGGAAATTTGAACTAAATTTAGAATGCTATGAAAAATCTACACCAAGTGCTACGAAACTCTACATTACATACTATACTCAAGCCAGCTAGTTGTAATGTTAAAAAGAGAAGGGGGGGCATCGTCGTTTGGTCCAGTTGTGTAAAAAAGCGAAGAGGGGAGGGACATTCGCGCTCATGGCGCATGCTCACAGGGTTCGTGGATGTGGGTGCGCATGGGCGTTGTCGTTTAGTCTAGTTGTGGTGTAAAAAAGCGAAGGGGGGAGGGATGTTGGCGCTCACAGGGGGTCATGGATGTGGGTGCACGTGGGCGTTGTTGTTTCGTCCAGTTGTGGTGTAAAAAAGCGAAGAGGAGAGGGATGTTGGTGCTCACAGGTGGTCGGTTGATGTGGGCGTGCATGGGCGTTGTCGTTTGGTCCAGTTGTGGTGTAAAAAAGCGAAGGGGGGAGGGATGTTGGCGATCATGGGAGTTGTGGGTGTTTGGTTGACGTGGGCGCACTCACGGAGGTCGTGGATGTGGGGGATGGGGGTAGATGGAAATGGGGAGGGACAGGGATGGGATGGTAGAGGAAGGGGGAAGGGAGCAAGGGGGAGGGACATCGTCCCGTTGTCATGGGCGCTGGGCATCGTTTCGTGGGCACTGGCGGTGTAGGTGGGCACTGGGCGCTGTTTCGTGTCCGCGGGGTGTTGTTTCGCGTCCGTTGGTGGTGTATGTGGGTGCTGGGCTTCGTTTCATGGGCAGCGTGTTGTTTTCGTATACGCTGGGGTGATTTTGTGGGCGGTGGGGAGTTTTCGTGGATGGGGTGTGCCGTTGTGCAGTTGTGGGCACTGGGCGGCCATTGTGGTCACTGGGTGGGGTGTTTTCATGGGCGAGGTGGTGCCGTGGATGTTGTTTTGGGAGTGCTGGGGTGGTTTGAGGGTGGGGTGGTGCCGTCGTGGGGTGTTCTTGTTGTCTTGGGTTGGCCATTGTGTAGAAATTGTATCCGTGGGGGCCTCGAGACCTGTTGCCGTCGTTTGGGTGCCACGTCGCTGACTGCGACATGGCACCTGGTTTTTGTGTTGAGAGACGAGGGAGGAGAGGGTGTTGTGGGTGCTTACCTGGTTCGTGTGCCGTGGTGACGTGGCACAGCGTTGTGGTGTTGGCAACGTTGTTGGATGTCAGGTGAGCAGCGTGGTGGTCGATGTGAGCCCCCTCACGTCGCTTAGCCCATGGCGGGCACTCACAACGTGAGGGGGGCGGTTACGTGGAGCGACAACGGTGGTGGTGGGAGGAGAGAGGGTTGTGTTTGGATGAGCGTGAAAGCCGTTGCCAAACAATTGTTTGTTTGGCAATGGGCTTGTGCCAAACAACCAGATTCCGGTTCCATTCCGTTTTTGCCAATCTGGGGTCCATTCCGGTCACAATTCCGGAATGCAGAAATTCCGCCGGAATGGTAAAGCACCGGAATGATGAAAATAGCAGGCCTCCCTGCTAAATTTCACTCCTCCGGAATCCACAGGAATCCACAGGAATGACCGGAATCCTGCAGGAATTAGGGGGGCACTGATAAGACCTCACTGATACACCCACTCCGATGACCACCTCTCAGATGTGTGGCTCAAGCGTAACACACGTCGAATGGCCATCGGCAGAGATGGCACCAGAAGCAAGTAAGACAGCATAAGAGCAGCTATGAGACAGACGGCGTTCAGCCGTTTACGTTGGAGAGCCTCTGCTTTGTGGGGTTTAAAGTGGTTGGCTATGGCTGCAAGTGTTGAGGATATAAGAGATTGCGACGAGGGTTTCTTGGTGGGTAATGGTGGCATGCTTGAAGTCCTGAGAAATAGTGAGCTGGAGAACGGGCTTTTATGCATGTCAATGTCGCGGTCATTTGCAGCAGTGCGGCAATGGTTAGACTCGCAAGCCAGTCACGCTCGCAAGCTCTTTGTCACAATAATCACAGGACGTTACGTGTTACTTACGGGCCTTATCGCACATTCCGCGATGAGCAAACACAAGGAACCAGTGTTGTCATTGACCTGGGTCTGACTGGGTCAGTCAAAGGGTCAGTCAAAAAAGGGGGGTCAAGTCAATAGAATACTTACCAACCCTTTTTCCAATTTCGCAGTTGAAGCTTCGGGATATACTAAAAAAGGTCGGCATGAGCTATCTTGCAAGTGCGCCATCATGGATTGACTCAGGCCGGCACTCTTCCCTTCTGCAAGCTTCATGATCTGCTGCTTGCTTAGCTCAGATGTACATGCCGACACGATATTTTTTAGCATGTGTGTGTTTGTTCTGGAAATTTATGTCAGAGTGGTTCCACAGATGCGACTTTGAGGGCATGACAGCTTACAGATTTCAGCGCTTCAGCGCTTCAGCACTCATGCCCTCCCACTTTGAGCTAGCATATTCGGTACCCCTTCCGTGTCCAATGTCATTATTGCTACACTTGTCTTGACGCTTGTACTAGGTACTACGTTGTCCTGAATTACATTATGTCATCATGGTCAACGTGACTTCTGCATGACATTGACCCCTTGACCTTTTTTGACTGACCCTTGATGGGTGGTATACACTTTTATGATAAAAACCAGACATATGCCTGGAGGGCGATGTGTATAATGCCTAGAGGTTCAATGAGATCACATATCTCATTGTTCTAGGATATTTCATTGCGATTTTCATATGGATACCTGGTGCTTTCAATATATATTTCATTCTCAACCCCAGGATATTTCATTGCAATTTTCATATGGACACCTGGCTCTTTCAATATATATTTCATTCTCAACCCCAGGATATTTCATTGCAATTTTCATATGGATACTGGGCACTTTCATTAGATATTTCATTGTGTATAATGCCTAGAGGTTCAATGAGACAACTCATTATTTTGTCTAGTATTTTCATTCATTAAGTTCCCTGTGTATTTCATTTGGTTTTTTCATTAAATGGCCTAAGTGATCTCATTAATATTGTATTGTGATTTCCTGCAATATTTCATTCATTATCTCTGGATATCTCATTTTGCTTTTCATATGAAAGCCTGGTGCTTTCAATATATATTTCATTCTTAGCTCCAGGACATTTCATTGGAGTTTTCATATATATATCTGGCGCTTTCATTGGATATTTCATTGTTAGCCCCAGGATATTTCATTGTGCTTTTCATCTGAATGCCTGGCGCTTTCAATGGATATTTCATTCTTGTTCCTAGGATATTTCATTGCACTTTTCATAGATATACCTGGTGCTTTCATTGGATATTTCATTGCTAAACCCAGGATATCTCATTGTGCTTCTCATTTGGATGCCTGGCGCTTTCAATGGATATTTCATTCTTATTCCTAGGAGATTTCATTGCACTTTTCATATGTGTACCTGGCGCTTTCAATGAATATTTCATTTTTAGTGGCAGCTGACCTTTCAGGGTCCAGGGTGCATTTCCAAATGTAAAATGGCAATAAAATCAGGAAAAATTAGGGCTCATTGCTGATCATCATGTTGTAACATTGTCAGGGTCCAGGGTCCAGTTCCAAATATGGTAATATATCCAAAAATAGCGGAAATATTGAATATATATATAAATGGTGTACAGAACATCAGGCACTGCCTTCAGGGTCCACTTCAGGTTCCATCCCAAAAGGGAAATATCACCTGGTTTGACCAAAAAGTGAAGAAAACCAACTGGAGAATGATTTTACCTATCAGGGTCCATGTAATGGGATGTTGGGATGATGGTCACATGACCAATTACCAAAAATGGTCAAAAAACAAAAGTTGTAGCCCTACACTGTAGCTTCCTGAATCTGTTCGAATTATGTTCTGAAGTGCTCCCGTTGTGGAGATATGAGGTAAAGGAATCCCAAAAGTGTCGTGTTTTTTTTTTTTGTTTTTTGCATTTTTCTCCATGAAAACAAAACCAAACAATATGATTTCAGTATATTTAGAAAGCTAAAAGAAAGGGCTACAACTATTGTATCGTGGGGAAAATGACCAAAAAAGGAATCAGATATAGACTACCAAGTTTACTGATAGACTACAAAAAAGTCGGACTCAACTACAAAGTTTACTGATACACTACATAAGACTACAAAAGTCAGACATAGACTACAAATTTTACTGATACACTACAAAAGACTACAAAAGTTGGACTTAGACTACAAAGTTAGGGTTAGGGCTAAAAGGTTATCCAAAGTCAACCTAGCCCATCCATCCCATACATGGCACATATTTGATGGGGAAATGGCTGGGGAATATACAGATACATTGCAGGGACTCTATTCCATGTCTAGTTTGAGGAATCATATGCAAAAGAGAGCATGAGAGCCTTTAGAAAAGGCACTTTTTTAGACTACAAAAGTTTGTAGTGTCTGCTTTTGTCATCAGAAAAGTTTGTAGTGTCCGCTTTTTTATTGGAAAAGTTTGTAGTGTCTGCTTTTTCATTTGAAAAAGTGTGTAGTGTCCGCTTTTTTAGACTACAAAAGTTTGTAGTTGACATGTAGGTTATGGTGTCCTTGGCCCTGTCTAGGTTATGGGGATGAGGTTGAAGGATTGACATGATCTTACATATTGCCAGTGCTTCAGCATTAGTTTTTGACATCATGCACAAGTTGTCTTTCACATTAGGAAAGGCTATTCTAAGCTTTTCATATTGATACCTACTGTCTTATCTCAAAACATAATAAGTTCATGTGGGGATATGGCTGAAGGATTGCCATGACTTTACATATTGCTATTGCCACATCATCAGTTTTTCACATCATGCCCAAGTTGGCTTTCACACTGTCTG